AAATGACCACTATTAATTTAAATCGATTTATTAAGTTGTTATAAATAATTGCATGGCAGTTAATAGGATAAGTTGTTGCATTCACAAAATCACACGTACTTCAACCTGTTTTCCGCTCACGAAAGAACTGCGAATACGAAAAACAATGAAACGTTGGCAGATACAATTCTACCAACTGCGAAATGCATAGTTTTAATTGTAACTTATGTAAGTCTGCTGCCGCCAGAGCTTACTTCGTGGATATTCCGTCTATGAATCCAATTTGTTGGAAAGTGAACATCAGCGTCCAAAGTAAACTTCCGTAAGCTCCAATTTAAGTCATGTCCACGAGCACGACCGTAAGTTTCCATGGCGACGGCAGGCGCTGAGCCAATCGATTGTGAGTTACGGCAGCCCCCGCTGAAGTGCGTAGCCGACGCCATTTATACATCAACACGTACACCACCGAATGCACAATTGGGATTCACGCACCAAGCGACTTAGACTCGAATAAGTGCTTCATTGATTGACTAATTCATGTTTTCGGGCTATGGTCGTTGGTCCCGAAAGTGTAGTGTATGTTTTTACGGTCCCTCACGGGATACGGAGCCGACCTATATGGTGGCCTACGTCGTTTTCCCCAACCAGGTATCTCCCACCAGCGGGGCACCATCTAATCCGGTCATGAGCACTTGATAGACCGTAGTTGATGTTTAAATCTTCCGATAAAAGCGGCCTAGCGGATGGGAAAAACGCTTTCTGTTAAGGCGCATTTGGCAACACTGCTTTATGTGATCTCTAGCTGTAAGTACCAAAAAAAGATCTCTTGGGAGGTGAATGTAATATCCGAGTCCGTATGCTAGCAAGGAAAAGAGAAACTCAAGAAAGGGGAACTTTGGCCGTCTTAATTCATATTTTACGTTGGGTTGATCGATTGAGGTTTCGGGCACGTCAACTACTACTACTATCATTAGTCCCGTTAGTGTAGTGAAGGTTTTATACCGGAAGGTGGCGGTGTTCCTTCACCACTCGATCACACTATCCAGTATTGACCTACTCGTCGGCTTGCTGGAGATTTCCCCTTCGACGTATCACTACAGCGGGGTACCGTTTCAGTCCACTCAAGCTCCCTACTGTTTTCCTGTCACGTGTGGAAGTGCAGTACATGTAAGTGCACGTGTGAGTGTAAGTGTAAAGGAAGAGAAAGGAAACATCAACTTAGGCTACTGCTGCCATATTCACCTGGTGTATATGTAAGCTTCCGCGGCTCGACTTCGTGACTTCTTTGCTGTCCGGGTAACGCCATTTCGTTGGCTGAGGGGCCGACATTTTGCCTGTCATATCACAGGCTTCCACAGGGTAGTGTTCACTACCCTGAGGAAACCCCTACTTCACTACCGTGAGGAAGCCTGCGATATGACAGGCCAAACGCCTACTTCTCAGCCAACGACGCGGCGTCACCCGGACAGCCAACAAGTCATGAACTCGAGCCGCGGAAGCTTACATGTACTCTAGGCGAATATGGCAGCACTAGCCTACGTTGATCTTTCCTTTCTCTTCCTTTACACTTACACCCACACGTACACTTACATGTACTGCACTTCCACACGTGGCAGGAAAACAGTCGGGAGCTTGTGTCGACTGCATATTCGCCTGGTGTTGGTCGGAGAAACCGCGTACAACTACTTATGAGAGTAGCCAGTTGCTAGCACTCTCCTCCAGACAGCGACACCAGAAACCCGAGCGAGGGACCTGTTAAGCTTAAGACACACTCCGTTTAACCCATTAACGGCCAACTTAATTATGCAACCACAGCGCAGAAGCCCATTGTGCTCGCGGCTGTGCGCGCCGAACAATTGATAGGGTAAAGTGGTTGCATATGAAAACTTTCATCGTGTAACGTCGTGCCAATGGGCCAGATGAACAACATGTCGGAAGGCCAGCGAGGGGTCGGGGCAGTCCTTTAGCGGCAAGCGGAAGGCCACCAGAGGCGGGCCCCTCCTCAAGGGCCGGGGTGGGCGTGTCTCGGAACGCGGGTGTCAACTGGCGCAGAGGGAGATATTGGGTGAGTCCAGCGCGGTGCAGCTGGACTCCAAAATTGCAAACAGGCCCACGTTTCGGGATGAGAGGACGCCGCCGGCATGGGAGGTCTGTCACGTGACCCCTCGCGAGGCGGCTGGAGAGTAACCAGCCGTGGTCGTTCGTTGTCGAACGGAATCGCGGTGCGGAAGGCACTTTTCACCAGCCAGGGGTTATCGCGGGCTTCGGCAGCGAGGTGCGGCGGTTGCCACGAGACGAGAGACCAGGAGCGGCGCCAAGCCGCTGGGGTCCGCGTCAGACTGGGGCGGGGATGCCTCAGAGATGTGCAGTGCTGGGAGTGCATCGCTAGTTTCCGAGGAGTGTAAATAGTGTATACAAACTTGTGAATAAATCTGTACCAAACAACTCCGTGTCTGTGTATGTCTCGCACCCGACGACGCCACAATCGCTTGCTTGTTTCTAACTTGTACCACTAGAGCGCTTCAAAGCGTCTACATGTGAAACCACTTTTTACGTTTAATAATTAAAGTAACTTCTGATTTAGTTTCATGTTTTTTCAGCTTAAATGCGTTCCAACGTTATAGTGCATATGTATAAATCAGACTTAAAGTCAGACCCAATTAATAATTCTGTTTCGTATACAATGAAAATTGTATACGAATTAAACAATTATTTGATATACTTTTTATTTCTCATGACATAATTCTATTGTAGTTGCCTGATTTGCATCAACTTTGATTCGCATTATTCTTCAATCAATTTCGTACAATTCCTTTTGTGAAACATCATGTGCCCTGGACCGGAGATTGGAAAGCAACGCGAATTCTTCGAAAATGAAAACGTGAGTGACTTTTGATCTTCTATTCTTGCATCTTTGCTGCTTATTTTGTAAACTATTATCGCTTGTTTTCAATCATATCATGATGTCAACGTATCTGCATTTCATGAACGGTTATCATAATCGTTAACCGGGTCCTTTCTGGCGCGAAGACTAGTAATTTTCCGTAACCTGCACCATTTCGAACGTGAACTGTCGTGCTAATGACGGCAGATGACCATTCTCGGGTAGCAATCATTGGAAATGAAAAATCCAAATAAGCATCACAAACATGGTGTTTTTAGTAACTCGTAATCTTTTTACGCCGCGTTGACGACGTATTGGTTCAATGGACAACTCGACTCTGTGGTCTTTGTGATCTTTGGCTCCTCGGTTGAAATCTCTTGAGTCGCGACTCGAACCAGATTTAGAGTTAGATTTATTTAGTCAAAAACCACCAGTAAAGACTGTATGTGACGTATGGAGTATACAAACCAGCGTGTGTTGAAATCATGGACTCTGTTTGGGGTCTTTTTTAACCCCAGGCGAAAATGTCTTGCAACACTGCGAAAATTATTCACACGAACTTCTCCCTTCAGATATGCTATTTATGTCGTTTTACATGTGTTGTAAACTTTTAAGATTTTTTAAACGTGTTCTTGGTTTGAAATAATTTGTTTTTTAACCAGACGGGGTATGAAATGCTCCCAAGTAGACTCCACGTTACACGTCTAAATTATAAGAAAAAATATAAAAACGTGTCCATTTTAGTTTTATAATATTGTGTTGTTTCTGAATGAAAATTTGGTTATTTGTCTATTACGAGTTAGTAGCTTTGTATCAGGCATTCTCATACTGGTATGGAAGACACGTATGTATAGTTATGAGAATATGCTAGAATGTTTTTTCTAGAAATATTATTCTATATTGTATTTTTAAACGATATAGTAAATGAAACAAATAAATAGCATCATTCCCTTCATTAATAATTCCAAATAGCATCCGTGCATAAAATACAGGTAAACTGTTGGGTAAAACGTTTGTGATCAAATCTGACCCCAAACAGACTCCGCGTAAGTAATTGAGAAACTGAGGCGAGGGGTTAAGCTTAATACACGGTTTGGGAAGTCCTGCCTAGGTCTGTGGATCCCTTCGCACTGCAATACTTCAAGTTTAGTTCAAGGAAGGCTAGGTTTGAACAAGGGGATGGCGTCGCTGTTCGTCAAGTGACACACCGGCTAAGGTGGCTCAGGGCATCAGCTTATGTTACTGCCGTCCCTCTGACCCCGAGGTCCTACGGTTCGAGTCCAGATGTCAACTTGCAACAGATTTACCCTTTCAGGTATCTACCTCCATGGGACACCGACACTCGAGATACGCTCTTAAGCTCCCAACTGGCCTCCCGGAATGTGCGATAGTGTAGTGCGTGTAAGTGTGTGTGTAAGATGCGAGGATAGGACATGGAAGATGAAGGGAAGATCGCGCGCGGTCCGTGGTCCGTTTGTTAGGGTACTGCTCCGGCATTCGCCTGGTGTTGTCTTAGCTAATAAGCGGGAAGAGTCTAAGCTCCACAGGGTCTTCACCCTTGTGTGAGTGTGGTGTCATGCTAGTGTAGGGGCGAGGATAGACAGGAGAGGAAGGAAAGATCGCGCGCGGTCGGGCCCGTTTGTTAGGGTACTGCTCGGCATTCGCCAGGACGAAGGAAAGCCAGGAAAACTAGATAGAGAGCGGCGCTAGAATTCTCTCCAGACAGGGTGAATTCGCACTAGTCGGCTTCACGGCCGTTTGGTAAGGTTTGCTCCGCGCATTTGCTGGTGTTGATGGGAAACAGGAAGAACTAACGATCAGCAGAAGCCCGGCGCTAGAATTCTCCTCGAAGGCGAGCGGCTGAATTGCATAGCTCGGCTTCTCACGGGGCCGTTTGGTAGGTTCTGTCTCGCACTTCGCCTGGTGTTGGATGGGAGAACAGGAAAACTACCGATAGAGCGCGGTGGCGCTGATCTCTCTCCAGACAGGGCTGGATGTACACTTAGCTATTGTTGACATGCTGCCGACGTGGGAGTGTACCAGGGCAGTGTGTGATGCAACGTCTGCGGGTTGGGCGGAGAGGGAGAGGCGGGGTGGGTGGGGTAGGGGGGGGGGGTCAAGGGCTAGGAGGAGTGGCATGGATCAATGGAAGCGGCGACGAGGACTGGGGGTGGGCGAACAGCTGGGAGTGGACAGAGGGGGAGGGGCAGGCGTGGGATGAGCGGCATCGCGTGACGTGTTGGCAGTGTTTCAGAGGAATCAGCCCATCCGTTCAGCTCGTTCTGCAGCCACATTCTCGCTGGATGTTCGCGGGCAACCACGCTGCAGTTACTTACACGGGAATCCGGAAGAGGCACACGGGCAACTTGTTCCAGGCGTCAACTAAATTTGGGCCCCGGTATAGAGGGTCAGTGACTCCAAAGCAGAAGTACACAAAACTTATTTTATAAAGTTCTATTCTTTTAGAATTATTCAACAAAAATAACTGCACATATATATTTATTAAAAAATATTATTTGTTTTGGGCCTCAGTATACTGCAAATTAATTAATTTGTACGAGTTGAAAATGTACCAACCAGTTAACTTAAACACGTTTAAATAATAAAGCTGTTTCTGATTGATTTATAAAATGACTCCATCTTAAATATTTTCTACAGATACGTTTGTACTATCAAAGGATTTGATGCTCGTAGTTTCAAACTTAGAAATTTAGGACTACGATATTGATTTTTACTCCAGTTTCTGTGAACATATTTTAACTTGGTCTTTCTTTTGGTGCAGAACTTCAAGATGGTGGTCCACTTTAAAAGTTGCTGCTGCGGCTGCAGCCTCAAGACTGGCACAGTGATCATCGGAATTTTCTCTGGGGTTAGTTTGATTGTATCGTATGTTCGTATGCAGCGGTGCGGCATGACAAAATCAAGGAGCAGACAATCAATCAATCAATCAATCAACCGGCATACTTTTTATTTTTACTTTTCGTCTCACTACGCATGTAGTAAAGAGAAATTAGTTTAATCGTGTGGCGGAAATCTGCGATTTTTCGGCTGAAAAATCCTTATTGTCGGTCCGTGGTAATGTCACAGTTGGATAAATCTTGGTTCTGTATGTAGAACATTACTGTCTCAAACACGTTGAATAGTCAGAATCAATGTTTTGTGGGTCTTGATACCGAAAAATCGATTGACGGCAAAACTTGACCGTCCGTAGGTGTGTCTTGCGGAAAACGCTAGCGCCTTAACCGTTCAAACGATTTTTTCTCCAATATTGATATTCTCCGATCGATCTAAACATACTCAACACCACGGGACTTTGAACTGGATATTTTGATTTCTGGCGGTATTTATGATAAAGCCATACAGTTTTCAACATTTTCTCAAAAGTGAAAGTTTTTAGATTAAAGTTTTTACTGAGATACTAGCAGAAGCTTAAAGCAAGTATGTTACATTGATGTTGAACTCTCTAAATTTTCCAAAATGGAAAATCTTAGAAATAATGCGGGAAAGTAGGTGCTGCTGCACCCCTACTAGTTTCAAACGGCCTACACATAAATATTTTATGAAGAGGCCCTCGCACTAATTTAATAACCAATCGTGTTACGGTACTGATCTGGCATTAACTCGGCGATGGGATCGTTAAAAATCCTAAGGTCAGTAGGAACGTTGGGTCTAATAGACCCGTTAGTTATTAGAGCCTATTTACAGCTCTAACTAATTACACAAATATTTTATGATGATGTGAAAGATGAAAATGAATTACATATCCAATGTCGAGCACAAAATATTTCCAATTTTTTTAAATTCCCTGAATATTGATAAAAAGAAACCAAATAGAAAGTGAACGAACATCAAAGAAAAGAAAATGTAGTATTAAGTTAATAATTGAAATATTAACAAAATATGTCTGCATGACTTAAACAAACATAACGGAAGCATTATTTTACAGTAATGTTTTATATTTTATTATGTTTCATGGAAGCATTTGTTACAATAAGTTTTTCGGCTTTTTTTTTTTTGTTTTTCTTAACCTTTTCGAGAAAGTGTTTTGTGAACTACCAAAATTTAAAATAATTTGCCTGTCCACTTTATTTATAGAAATTAGACTGCAAATAAATAAATTTACAAAAGATTCAGGTTTAATTTCCTATTTCTCAGGTTCAGCTTCGTCAATTTCTTGTTCAGAATATGTACTGTGCCAAATTTTCAGTTCAAATAATGTATCAGCAACTATCATAATAACAAACAATACTTTTTTCTAAAAGCCTGTTTGTTACTTCTATATCATTCGGATTTAATGCGTTAAAATAACTGTTGACTGAGCCGACCATTTTATAAAAAATTAACGTAAAAAAGAACGTTGGGTCTGATGAATCCATCAACAACTTTAATAGAACACCACGTTTTTCTGACAAACTAGAACTAATGGTCGTCATCTATTCACGAAGATTCAATTTGAAGGTAGATTGGTGGATAAGTTTAGAAATAATTTCGTTTACTTGATAGACGGCGTCAAAGATGATGCTGGGCTTGACAGACTCAACGTTCCCACTGCCGGGTTAATCGGAAAACTACGAATCAGAGTATTCTTCGGACACTTTCTTTTCGCTTAGATCCAAGATGTAATATTAAGACATTTTTTCAAGCTTGTCAATTAAGTGGACATTAAAAAGGAAATTTCTTTGCAGTTTGGTGCTTTTTGCGGCATCTTAATTAGCATTTTGATGGTCTATGTAGGCACCGGAGAGCTTCAGAAGGAATTCCTCAAAGAATTGGAAAAGCAGAAAAATATTACTCTGGATCAAGCTGAATATGAGGAGGCAGTTAAATATTTGGAAGCAACTACAGGTAACAAGAGTAAGTTTGACTTGACACAATGCAGACTAAAACAAGAGCAGGGCAGACTACAATTCTGGGTCAGCTTACCCATTTAACTTTTTACATATAACATACTGGTGTTTTGGTATTTACATATGACATATTATTAGCAAATAAATAAAGTGTATTATACAGATAATGAAATGATAACTTTAAATACACAATAAATAAATACAATTGATTTGATGGTAAAACATTGACATGGTTGCCAAAAGACTTTGGGAGCTTCTCTCTGAAATGCATAACAATTTTCCAAATTGTCTGGTTAAAAAGGGGGAATAATGAGAAATTGGTCACAATAAATATAATGTTTTATTACAGAAAGTGAATGAAATAAAGAAATGCAATATGGGGATTGGGGTTTTAATTAAAGTTTTCAAATTTCAAAAATAAGACCACAGTCCCCGTGGTTCCCCAGGGAGCACACATATGAATCAATAATGTATCATATGCAAAAGCTATCCATAAATCAACATCACCAGCAGATAAAGAAAGTATTTTGGAGGGTTTGGCAAGAAAAAGAAAGGTACAAATATATTTATTATGGAATATGATGAAATCCAACAGCTTGCGATGTGATGAGATTTACAAATGGTAATTATTTTGAATAAATAGAGTTCAATTACAAAAAAAAATGATGGCTTGCAGGGTGGGAGGGGGTGGTGTGGTCCCTCTGGACATCCGCATCAGTCAATCGAACTACACAACACACTGATAGGTCTTTCTTATAAGGGAACATCTTTTACTTTTAAATTATGTTTCTAAAAGGAAACTGCTACTTGGCTTCAATAACTTGCCCCTTCAATAATGAGATAAGAGTGGATGAAAAGCTAGAAATTTAAAACATAAAAACCCAACTTAGATATTTTTATTTCTGTTAAAATATTCAGAAATGTGTATAAATGTATATGTTGCTACAACTGATAAATATTGTGTACCTTATTTTCTACATTTATACTCATATAAGTTGAACTAATACTTTTTTTAAACTTTTATCTATATTCTAATTCTCTATCTTTGGATTTCTACTTGTGATAATGTAACATGTGAAATGAAACAATTTTCTGAAAACAGATGATTAAATAACTCTTAAAAGAATGAATTACTAAGTGTTTTTGTCTAATGTGCATTATAAATGAATCTTATTGTTGCAGCCCTGAGTGTGCTCTATATCTGTCTTGCAATTTTCTATGGGATCCAACTGATCTTTGACACCATGATGGTCTTTGGAGCCAGTGCAGTGAGTTGACTACAATAATAATTTGTAAGACTACCAATCAGAGCGAGTGGCAGATTATTTTGTGTACCATGCAAGCTGAGATAACTGTCCTCTAATGCCCTCTTAAAATATTTATTGTTTATGAATAATTTCTCTCAAATGAAATAAGTCGCATTATTTAATTCATAACTTACTTCATTAATTGCTTTTCTATCAAATATAGAGCATAAAATGCAACTATAAATTTGAGCTTTAAAAAATTATTTTCACTACTACTCTTGATTGTGTGAGAAGAATTCTTAAAGCAGTGAAACTATTTGGAAAGTCTTCCTGCAGGCCCAATGCTTACTAATAATAAAAAATATACAAATATCAAAAATTTAATATTGGTCAAGAAAACTTCACTAGTAGTGCAACACAGTGGCACCGACTTTCGCGTATTAGTTTTCTATTCTCTTTCGTCTCAGCTAGCTACTCGAGCTTGCCACATACTCTAGCTGGCTGCCGTCTATCGCCGCCCAAAAAGGATGTTTTTAAAAATTTTCTCAATTTTTCGGTTTTCTAATAATATAACGGAAATATTATTTTAAATATATTAAACAATAGCAAAACCCCATCCTAAATGGCAGTTTTCTTTGAAAAATTTAGAGCCGTTTTTAAAAAACGGGCGTTTAAGCGCTATTGTGTAAATTCGAAATCTGAAGTTCGTTTTCACAGAAAATCTTGAGTTTTCGAAAAACTTCATTTGAAACACATTTACAAATACAATTGTGGTACAAATTGCTGGAATTGTGCATAATACCGGCGTGAGAGATCTTTCAAAGAAACTATATTTGTGTAACTTTTTATGAAGTAAACTTTACGTCATTTTAAAGAGCGCATTATCCGTTCGAAAAGTTTGAAGAAAAATATTGGAGCTGTTTTTGAAAAAAATGACGTTTGAACTTTTCTGAAAATGTCAAATTTTGAGCCAGTTTTCATAGAAAACTGTTGAGTTTTCGAGAAACTTTATTTCACATTTTTTTAAAAACACATGTAGTCATAAATATAATAATGTGAACAAATTGACGAGTGAGAGACATGTAAAAAAATTAATTTTTGTATTTTTTCAAAAAAACAAAAGAGTCGAGCAATATGGCTTCTCTATCATCTTATAGAGTACATTTAGGACTAACCCTACTAAAAGTTTAAAGAAACAATTTGGAGCAGTTTTTAAGAAAATCTTGTTTTTGTATTTTTTTTAATTGCACATATTGCTCGCAATATTGCGCGAAAACTACAAGAAGTTTCAAAAAATGTGCATGACCTCAATGAAAGAACTCACTATGGAGAACAAATTTTATTTTAAGGAAAAATCTTTATCGTCAATTTTGTAGTTGTAGGAAGACGTCCGAAAAATTTTGAAATTTTCGAAAATTCAGAATTAATCCTAAATATCGGACCTACGCCACATTTGTAAGTGTATGTTACTTTATTCTTACCGGAAATTTAAAGAAAAAAATGTGGCGCAGTGTCTTTTAGTTTTGGTATCAGGGGATCCCCAAAACGTGTATTTCTGTTGAAGTCTCGAAATCGATTTTCCGCGGCATTACATAACTTTCCCTATACTGCTTATAATACCCCGTATATACGTACGTATACGGGAAAGTAAAAAGAAATTGGACGAATTCATAAGAAACGTCTTTTTACATTTGCTTTATTACAGTGAGAATAAACATTCATCAATTTAGAACCACCACATATGGAACTAAAAATTTATTATCTCTAATTATTTCAGAACTGAAAAAATACAATTTTAGTAGCCTTAATATTACAATGAGTGGAGAAATTATAAAAAATCCACACTGAACAAAAATAAGTTTAATTGTTTAACTATGTATATGTTTTAGTCCACTGGTTACATTTCCTCAAAAAATAATAAACAAGATAGATTGAAAATGATCAGCTAAAAGTGATGAATGAAATAAAAATGAAATGAGTTAAGAAGTGTTTTCCTGGACATTCTATTTACTATGTTTATGATAACCAAAGTATAGTCAAATCTTACAGTGTGAATTAGTTGTGTATATGGAATCAGACCCGTGACTTCAGTTCTCAAATCTGAACATTCTCTCTCCAAGGTAAATAAATATATGATCCCATTCTTAATTGGCTTAATTTAAAAACATAAGAAATTCCACATTATTTGTCTTTCTTTAATTCTGCAAAAAACATTTTGACAATGTTCATATATTGTCATCATTAGGCAGTAAAATTAATTGCATACAAAACAATTAAACTAATTAGAACCTTGAAATATTAAAATATGAATTCCTTACTAGCCTTATATAATGAATGTTAACATTTTGAAATTTTTCACTCAGACTGTGTGAAAGTGTTTATTTAACTATCACAACTGTGGATACCAATAATACAAATTTATGACTTCTTAGATGAATGACACTAATTAACAAATGTACACGAAAAACATAACCATTAATTGTAAATAATAATAACACTTCAAACGTCATTAATCCCTCAATTCAACCAAGTTGAAGCTCACCATTAAAAACAAACATTCTTTCATATTCGGGCAATTTTTGTTTCAACCAATGGTCAGTTGACCACCGAGATGTAAATAATTTATTATTAGTATATTGTAATTTATTTCAAGATAATAATTGGATATCTTGTTTTAGTTTAATTGTTTTGTACATAATTTATTTTACAGCCTGATGATGACCATATATGAACATTGTCGAAACATTGTTTTTTGAAGAATTAAATAAAGACAAATAATGTGAACATTTATCTTTATGTTTTCAAAATAAGTCAACTAAGAAAGGGATCACAAATTTATCTATATAAAGATTAATACGTAAGGTTGGCCAAGAATAAAAAGTTTAATTCACTCTCCAAGTTAATATATCTAGAGATGATTAATTTTATCATTATCTTCATCATCATCAACATTTTTGATATCGTGTACTATTATTATTTATTTACATGTGTCATATACTATATAATTACCTATTTAAATAACTAACAGTGCAATTTTAAATAAATATTTACAAAGACCAAATGGCAAGAGGAATAGAGGCAGACCGACAAGATGGCACCAGCAGCAACACTTCACCACATAAAGGAATACTGCTTTACTACCCACTAACAGGGCAGGAGCACCGCTCCTAAACCAAGGATGTTGATGATGATGATATTTACATAATCATTTACTTCTTCTTTAATCACTTCCGTTCATAATCTCATTAATGTCAGGATTTTATAAAATATATTTTTTCACTTGGTAAGTGAGACATAGAATTATTACCATTCTTTTTTCTATATTCCTTTTTTTAAAAATAATTATCCTTATCTGCTTTGGTTTACAGGAACGACCTCGAATGATCAAGCCATGGATTGTCTTTGCTATTTTGTCATTGACTGTTCAATCTATCCTGACCGTAGGGCACATTATCTTCTATTTTATCAATGGCGCAGTCATTGTAGGAGTTGTGAGTCTTGTGATATTGACTGCTGGAATTGGTAAGTTGCCATTTTTGTTGTCATCAACATCGTCATCAAGAATTAGGCTGTTGGCTTGACTGTGATGACTCTTGCGTGACCAACAAAAAATTATCAAATGCTTGAAATAGACTTGACTTTCTGAAAAATTGCCTATTATTTCATCACATTTCTATTAAATCAATGATCATATGATACAAAATGTTGAAAAATTCAATAATTGCTCGTTTTTAGTAGGTTTTGCAACTGAAAATACTGTAGTGAAAATTAATTTTGAAATGCAATGTTTAAATACCGTAACATCAAAATTTATAAAACACTAATGTGATAAATAAATATCTTAAAAATGTACAATAATTTCAAGTGAATGATATTCAGGGCTCCATCAAATTATAAAATTAAAAATAATTAATACTACAAATGAAAAAAGTAATAAACATTCTTACTTATTAATAATTACTTAGATAACTTACAACAGCCTGTAAAATTATTGAATTGTTTTGCAAAATAGCTTAATACTTTTGACATTTTTCTGTATCAAAAATAGTTTCAGGAAATATTAATGAAAATAATTTTCTTTCTTTCAGCTCTAGGAGTCTACTTTATTCTAGTTGTCAACAGTTTCCACACAGAATTACTTTCAAACAATTTCCAAAATAAAATTTAAGAGGCCACCAAAAAGAAATTTCTATGGATTTAAAAATTCATCTTTTCTTTAATATCGCATCGATTTCTCTGCTTTTTCATATTGTTGTTGAATAAATTTGTGGGGTGTAACTATGAAAATAAGACTTTCTGGCCTTAAGTTCAATAAGCAGCAAGTTCATTTTCATAGAAAAAATGGGACAACTCCAATAAACTTTTAATCTCTGATGTAGATCAGAAAATACAAATTTATTACGCATCAACAATAATAAATGCTATAGCAACATTAATGGTTTCACATGTAATTGGAATATTGTTGTAAACAAATAGTAGACATTTAGTTGTGACAATATTTCAATAACTCATATTCAGTGTTTGTTTTGCCTGTTGTTTTTCTTTTCAAAACATTGCATTTATATTAATAAGCTTACTTTTACTTTAATTTTATATTCAGGAATATAGTAAAATTTAAGTCAAGAAACTTAAAATATTTGGAAGAAATTGAATTTGAATTATTATAGGCCTGTAATTTGTTAAACAATATGGTTAAACAATACTTTGGAGACAAACTTCCACCTTTTCCATTTATTAATATTGAAGAACATAGAAATTATATTTATATACAAATTACCTTTGAAGTATTTTTTTACTAAATTGTAGAATCTAGTTTTCTACCTTTTTTATATCTAAAAATTGATATTTATGATGACACTAAAACTATAGATTATATTTTCCTTCTCTAAAAGCAAGACTGAAGAATTCGTTTGAATTGGAAACTTAGTAGGAACATTTAAATTTCAAATTTAAGATATTTCTTAAGGAAGTCTTGTCTACAATCAGGACATGAGAGAGTGAAAAGGAGTGGGGTAGCAAACCCAATTCAAAAGTTAAAATTAAAGCTGAGAGAGCGAAATAAATCAAATGATGTAACCCGTAAAGTGTGAAAATTGTTAAAATCAGATAATTATGACAAGATGTGTTGTGAATTGCTTCATATGGTTCCTTTGTTTGCCTTTTCCTGTGAAAAGAAGATTTGCATCAGCCATGAAGACTGTCAGTGCCTCTGCACTTGCGTATTTGTGGATGGACTAGAATTAATTTCAGATTATTTTGAGAAGTAGTAGATGGTCGCTCTGCATAGTAGAGCCTATTCATTATTTGATTGTGAATAGTTCACAATTATTGTTAAAGAATTGAGCTTTATTATTTGTGCATATGCTGTTTATAATGTATGTCGCTTTTATATGCATCAGGTTTTAGCTATTGCCCTAAAAGCAAATATTTTTACCTTTTTCCTGTTCTGAAATGAATGTTCTTACTAACACATGTACAATTAAATATAAAGTAAATAAAAAAAATTATTTTCTATTTAAAGAGTAGAATTCTTTCGTAGTTTATTCTCCTTGATGTTTTGTTGTTGTTTTTTTTTCTACGAAATGTATTTGGGAGGGGGGCGGATTTCAAAGTGAACAAATACGGTTTTTATTCCAGGGGCATGACAAACAATTATTTTCTTGACTCTCATTATGCTCTTGAATAAACACTTGGTAGAGGTGATAATAATACTCATAAAATTGAGAATATTAATTTTGCTTAAGAACAACAATACAGTCAGTGAGGCAGTTATAGCACAACACGAACCCAGTTTAGCACACATCTCAAAGACAAACGTATATCTATGACAAACGGAATACATGAACACAGATCACCAGAACGTGTTAACACTACGCCATACCTCGTGCGCACTGGTTAGGTATCACGACGGCCTTGCTTCTTCCTCTCTGGCACAAGAAGCAACTGAAGGCGAAAGCTCGCAGCGAGTACTGATGACTACATTCCAAACACATCATCACTGGCTGGAAATAGTAACAATTTTCTTTTGAAGGGAACTTCTGTCCGTTATTTTCTCAAAAAAATCTAAAGAAATGGAGGAATCAGATAAAGATCTCTCACAGGAGATATCTGGAACTCCTGAGAAAGTTAGAACACAAATTAATGAGAAAGGAGTGAAGGCATGACTAATTCTTCAGAGATTGGCATTGCTTCATAAAATCTAGTGGCAGATTTCGTAACTAATACCCCCCACTCCACCCGCATTTCTTCAATCCATCGTTCAAGAAAAGTTGCGCGAGTAATGCCAATACTCGCTGCTACCAACAAAGGAACGGCTACTCGCACTCCGAGCATACACAATATCTAACACTTCCCCTCGAGTCGTTTGTTCCACAAATGATCACTCAAAAAACAAAAAAATAAATATTTATTCCGGCCAGTTCAATACAGCGCTGGTGTTTACGGTGTGTCAGATATTTGGTCAAAAAAGTCTGCCGTCTGGTCTTCCGTGAGAAAGTGGGAGATCTTCAACTCCTTCCTCTTCAGCACATCTCGCACAAGATGATGGTGCACATCAATGTGCTTGCTCCTGGCGTGGTAGGTTGAGTTTTCAGCCAACGTCGGTGAACCGCGGTTGTCATAGAAAACTGTCAAGTTTCTTTGACAAGTCTGACGTAAACAAAGAAATAAACATTCTGCGGAAAACGGCCTCCTTGACACCCTCTGACAAAGCCATGTACTCAGACTCCAGAGTAGACAATTCGACGGTCCCGCTGCTTTCGTGAGTCCCATGAAATCGGTCCCCCGTTCGGGAAGAAAAGGAAACAGGAGTACAATCTTACTTGGGAAAAATCCTCCAGTCAGCATCGGTATACTCTTTAAAAAATCCTGGATGGGTACCATACCTCACTCCCGCGCTGATCGTGCCCTTGAGATAGCTTAGAATACGTTTGACAACCATCCAGTGATCGAAACTAAAACAATTGCTAATCTCGCGCTTTTTTAAAATTTATTTTTATTTATTTATTTTAAAATGTTACTCATTTTTCAACTATTTATAGTTAAAATGATGGGAAGGGATTCTGGAACTCAAGAAATCGTGCGCAGATGATCTTCTACTGTATGTGCATATACAGTTTTTACCGTTTTTGAACAAATAAATTTAAATCTAAAGCTTATTGGATGTTCCAACGACTCGAGCTTTGTTGAATATTGTTGAGTGTTGCAACGAAAGGAAGGATGTATCCATGATGTAAGTTCACCATGAATATATAATTCCTGTTTCTAATAACATGGATTTTCTGTTATTCTGATTTTCTTTATAGTTAAAATGACGGGAAGGGATTCTGGAACTCAAGAAAACGTGCGCAGTAAATCTTCTCCCCCATACGTCTCATACCACATACAGTTTTTATTGTGTGTTTTTTTTTTTTTTTTTTTTACAAAATAAATCAAATCAACTCAAATTATTAAACTGTCCCAAGTAGCTTCTCGCAAACGCAATGTCGGGCCGTGTGGTAGATGCTAAGTAACTGAGAGCACCAATAAGCTCACGGTTCGGTGGGAGCTTCACGTCTTTCAGGGCTTGCGATAGGTTCTTCAACAACTTGACACTCGGATCCGCAGGGGTAGATATCGCATTGTAATTTGACATTCCACATCGCAACAGCTGATCCTGAATGTATCGTCGCTTGTGCAAACTCACCTGCCCATGCGATTGCTCGAATTCTTTCCCCCAGGCAGTGCTTGACGAAGCCCGAATCCTTGACATCGAAATGGTCAGATAGTCACAATATCTAACACTTCGGCCATGTATTATCTGTATACATTGCCGAAGATCTAACACTTATGTTTTATTTTTAATCTTGCATAAATCATTACGTTTTGCGATCCAATTGGTCGTATCTTGAAATGTTCTGTAATACAGATTTTTTTTAAAATTACAATGTTCCTTTAATCTTAAAATATAAAATTTAGAATAACATTTTAAGGTGTAACAAAATTACAGGAATTACATAGAATTAATGAACGAAAACACAAGAATTATGATGTAACAAAAACTCTAATGGTATAATTATAAAAAATGTAAATCTATACGTATAGAGCACAAGTCTTACCTGAGACAAATTAAACTTTTTCCGTTATATTTATTGAATAAAGTTGTCTACAATGGAAACAACAACATTAAGGAAAAAAAAATCCCTGATACCAAAAAAGTGTAATTTTTCAAAACATCCGTCCGCCCGTCCGCCCGTCCGCCCGTCCGCCCGTCCGCCCGTCCGCCCGTCCGCCCGTCCGCCCGTCCGCTCGTCCGGTGTATTGCCTTGAAGTCGTCGCCGCCGCGCGATTTCGGAAAAGGTGGGTCGCCTTACCTTTCAGCTAGCTCAGACATTAGAAAGGTGGCCTGAAAACAAAGGATGGCGGGCGGACGTTGTTTCGATGAAAATTAAAGTTTTCTGAAATGGGGTTAACGTCAAGTTTAATAAACCAAACAAGAAAATTATCAATAATAATGGTTAATAATGGTAGTGGTTAAGCCTACTAAGAGTTCGTTTGATATTCCCCACAATGAAAGCCTAAAGACTAAACTAATACGTATATTTTAGAGAATTTACAAGATTTTCCTCAGATTCTTTATTAGGAGCCAAACCGCGACTAATAATCTTTCCTTTCTTTAAAAGAACAACACTTGAATCCAAAAGTCCATTTATTTAGACGCCTGAGGGGCTGTTGAGAGCTTATAGCCAAACTCAAAACAAAAAAAAAAAAAAACGCCACCGAAATGGTCGCCGAATCTGTTGATCCGCTGGGCTGAATGGTTGGCCTCGCTGCAAGGCCTCAGGGGCGAAGAATCTTCAAGACAGGTGCAAGTAGTCAAGAGGCAAAGTTTCGCTCAGCCGGCCGAGACAATGCCCTCCAGTCAATCTGGTTTGACGACAGTAGGCGACGATTGTTGCGGTTCGCTGGGTCGCTTCCACGGGATGAAGTCAAATTCTGGTCGCAAATTGTGCTACATGCGGAGGTTATAATTCACAAGCCCATCGGGCTTATAACAGCGACGAATTTAGTAAAATATTACTTATTTGTGGCCAAGCACGGCACATAAACTTATCTGGATTGAAAACACTGCGGTTCGATAAAATTTTTAAGTCCGAAATCAAACATTAATTCGACTGACTGCGCGCTGAGATGCCTCTCTGCTCGCCTGAACAGAAGTTCTTTCACCCCCCCCCCCCCCCGCCAGTTTGTTCTAATCTCTGTGTCCGCTCGCGCAAGCGTCCACGAAAGCCCCAGTTTCTTCAACTCGGAATCCCAAAGTTCTGGAAATTCTTCTAATTTTATAAATCCGGTTGGTGATAGGTTGAAACTATGTGCGCGGTACAATTATTTAGTCTAATCGCTGAAGGCGTTTTGAAGGGAATTCGGGTGGAAAATTTCCAGGATTCTCTGTCTATAGTTTCCTTGTCTCGCTCCGTGTTTACAAAAAACACGTGCGGATCTAGTTGCATCGTAGAAGAAGGGTGAAGATAATTCTCACTAACGACTTCTGGGTGGCGCCGCAAAGGCTCGAAGAGGGTGGTTACGTATTTTCTGACAGGGTGTGTAGCGTAAAGGGATAAGTAAATAAAGCGACGGCCGGCTCGAAAAGCAGGCCACGCGGGTGGTCGTTTTTGTTTGTTTGTTTGTTTTTTCTCTCCCACATAATAGGAGGGTTACAGCTGCGCGTAGCGAATCGGAAAGAGGGGGAGGGTCACGTGCCCGTTGTTAAGGTCTCGGCATGAGAGGGGCTCGTGAGAGACAGCTCGGAGGCAAGCTACTACCAGAAAACTATTGAAAATGAATATTTTTTTAATAATAATGTATTCGGTAACGCCACAGTATGTGAACAATACTAGCGCCTAAACCATGCGTAGTTGTTGTTTTTTTGTTGTTTTTTTTATTGAAGAAACCCCTGCCCATTTACCCTGAATCGAAGCTCTGCGGGTTTGGAAATCATTCATTAGTTTTTGGGAGTACTTTACATAAAGCCCCTTGGACATTTTCAAAATTTTCTCAAAAACGACTCCCAATTTTTTCTTTAAATTTCTTGTAAGAATAGAGTAAAATACACTTACATAGGTGGCATAGGTCCGATTTTCACGGTTAACTCTAAATTTTCGAAAAATTCAAAAGTTATTTTTTTTTTGGTTCTTCCTACAACTACAAAATTAAAGATAGATATTTATCCTTGAAATAAAATTTGCTGACCAAAATTAGTTAGTTTATTAAGGTCATGTACATATTTGATCATTTTAGTAGTTTTCGCGCAACATTGCGTGCAGTTTGTGCAATAAAAAAAATTAATGAAACAAGATTTTCTCAAAAACTGCTCCAAACTTTTTCTCTATACTTTTGGGAGTGATTGTACTAAATGTACTCTATGATATGACATTAACGCCATTTTCTTTTGTTGTTTTTTTTCAGAAATTAAATAAATGTAATTTTTTTGACATTTCTCTCACATTAATATTGACATTAG